AGGCCTCCCCATTCACCAGATCTTAATCCAGTAGAACACCTTTGGGATGTTGCAGATGAGTGCAGAACAGGAGATTTGCAGCATGAATGTGCCGCTCGTGAATCTGCGGAAATAGTGTGAAATCATGTCAGCATGCACCAAACTCAGAGGAATACTTCCTTCAGTTGGTGGAACCATGTCAAAAATAGCTGCTGCTGCTTTTGAGCACTAATAGCGGTGATTTTTATCCATTACATGCAGCTCTAAATGAAATGATCAGCATGCGTTTAAATGCGTTGAAAGTATCTATCTATCTATCTATCTATCTATCTATCTATCTATCTATCTATCTATCTATCTATCTATTGTGGGCAAAACAGAATCACAGTTACACCCAAGTCACACAGATGGAGGGCAAGATTAAAGGAAAGTCCAAACTCTAAGTTTTTTTTAAGTGAGTGATCACATGTAATAATGAAAGAAAACATTCCCATCTCGATAGGAGTGGTCTCTTCCCGGATAATGGGGCTTCCATCCATGAGGCACAAGGGATCAGTAAATGGTTAGACGCAATAACATGAGGTAAATGCGCACAGGCCCTATGGAAGATTTCAAACCAGTGCATCAGACAGCATTTTCCACCACTATCATCAGAACACCAGAAACATTTGTAATATCATGTGGGATATTCCGCCTGTCCAGTAGATTTCCAGAGACTTGGAATCAGTGCTAAACCAGACTGGACCTGTGCAGGCAGCAATTGGTGGCCCAGCACTTCACATGGACACTAAATGCTTTTTTACCTGTTCGTATCTTGGAGTTTGTTTTGTAAAATGAGAATATTAACGATAATAATGTTGAATTAAAAACCTTATTCTACTTTAAGCAAAAAACAAGCATGTGCCACTAAGTGCAGGCAGGAAGACTTCCCACATAACAAGCCGTGTTCTGGTGCAGGTGTCCATTCATTTACCGGCTGCTGCTGCAAAAGCAGAGGCTGAATACACGGTGGGGAAATTAAGAGTCTAAAGCTGACTACTTTATCCAAGGGAAATGACTGGGATTTGTGACCACTGCCGCGGAGAATGCCAATCAACTGTGAAAGCTTTTGCTAACACGAGCTCGTGGCTTGACCAATTACAGTGAAATTTAATGGGTTTAGCGTCAGTGTCCGTGTTTTGGCCACAACAGCGGAGGAAACAGGTCCTCCAGGGGCGAAAAAAGTTTGAAACCAATTAAATGAGGGAATTATCCTTCTTCCTCCTCTTTCCTCTCTCCCTGATGTAATGTCTCCTTGCAGACTTTGACCAGTAAGATTAAAAAAAAGAGTTCCCAGAAGCTTCTCAAGTCAGAAAAAAGCAGAAATAGAAACGGCAAAAACACAGTGGGAGATAAAATGCAAAAGAGAAGACAAAAGCGAGGCTAGTGTGAGAATTAAACCAGGCGAGATGGAGATGGAAGAGCGTGATTTTTTCTAAAGATAAAGGCTGGCTGTTGTCCTGTCCACTTGTTCTATTTATTCACACCAATCTGTGGGAGATAGTCTAAGTAATGATAAAAGACAAAATGTAAATACTCTGAAAGACAAACACACATCCCAGGTACGATGTGATTAGAAAGTGAAATGGCACTGGCCTCCCCCCCTCCCTCCTCCTCCTAAATGCACCATGCAGTACAGAAACCAATTCTTTTCCTCTTTTACTGGCAAGGGATGTGACACAGAGGGATTGGGGGGGGGGGGGGGGTTCCCCTCAGAAATTTGTTCTTGGCAAGGTGGAAAGGTCTGTGAAACAGCATTTAGAGCATGGAAGACTGCAATTCTCCACTGAAAACAATACTAATGAACTTCTCTGAAGTAGCATTTAAACCATGTCAGAGTAAAACTTTGCTCTGCGAGAAACTTCAGTGAAACCTTTCAGAGCGTATTTTAGACCAGCGTCACGCTGCAAATTTCTCTTCTCTTCTCTTCTCTTCTCTTCCCGCAGGCTCATGACTGTACAAAGTGAACAGCAGGAGCCCCGGTGGCAGCAGCCCCCTCGTATCAGGGCCTGGGCATCACTACAGTGTGGCATCTATCCGCAGCTAGCAGAAGGGGAGATTACTCAGTGCTCACATCAAAGGAGGTTTGTCTAACTTGGGTCTGGCGTTGTGCTGGTAGAGCAAGTCCTTGGAGCAGCCGTGCCGTTCTTATCTCTCCCCCACAGACTCTTTCTGTTTTTCTGCAGCAACACAACTGGCTCCCGGTAACACTGACGCATGAATGCATGGCTCTGCGTGGTCAAAATGTGCACACAGACAAACACCGGTTCACATTCTCTCGTATGAAAGCACACATACACAAAGGGCGCACACAGCATGGAAGCAGCTCTCTCTCTCTCTCTCTCTCTCTCTCTCTCTCTCTCTTTTCCCTGATATTAGTAGAATTTGTTCTGCTGAGCGAGCCTCTCTCTCTCCCTCCCTCCCTCCTCCTGCTCCTTGTCGAGAGCTGAACCTGGTTCAGTGAATATTTGAAATGGATTAAATGATTATCCCTGGACAGATGCTTGCAAAAAAGAACCCTCTGTGGTGGAATATTATGTTAAATATTTTAACCACTCCAGGTGTACTTTCAACCCGAAAGCACCAGCAAAGTGAAAATCGCTGAAACGTATAAACAAACTGGCTTATGGCGTTTTACACACTAAACTCAGATGATCTTAATTTCTGGATGAAAGGCAACTAGAAAAATCAACAGTTTGAAAAATGGACTTGAGAGGGTTCTCATACCACCAGCATGTAGCTTAACACAAAGGGCATTGCCATGTCATACCAGCAGGTCCTTCATTAAGAGATTCACCTATATAGCTTTTATGTAAGGCATAGACTGCATATAAATGATGGATACAGCGACCACGACATCACCCACCAGTTTGTAATCTCCTGTTTTGAGACCTCGTGGCATCCACGGACTGTGCAGGTGTCAGTCAAAGTGGCCGTACCACAGCATTACTTAACTGTAAGTGAAGGTGGATGAGTTTAAATACTTGGAGTCAACCACCCAAAGCAGGAGAGTGCACAGGAGAAGTGAAGAAGAGAGTGGAGGCAGGGTGTCAGGGGTATTTTGTGACAGAAGGATTGCAGGGAGAGGGAAGTGAAAGGGAAGGTTTATAACCTGCTATGATGGATAGGTTGGAGAGGGTGGCACTAACTGAAAAGACAGGAGGCCAGACTGGAGATGGCAAGGTGGAAGATGATAAGATTTTTGTTGGGAGCGACCAGAAGGGACAGGATTAGAAATGAGAACATCAGAGGGACAGCTCAGGTTGAGTGGTTTGGAGGTAAAGTCAGAAAGGTGAGGCTGGGATAGTTTGGACATGTGCAGAGGGGGATAGTGGATATAATGGACAAAGGATGAAGAATATGGAGGAAAAGAGGAAGACCACAGAGGGGTTTCACATATGCAGTGAAGGAGGGCATGCAGAGGGTTGGTGTGACAGAAAAGGATTCAACGAGCAGAGTGAGATGGAAGACAGGAGATCCATTGTGGCAACTGCTAAAGGGAAGAAGCATTGTGTCAGTTGTAAAAGTTGAGGAAATTATCTACAGAGAACCAAAGGATTTATTTATTTATTTTGGCAAAAGGCTGTAAACACGTGTATTCCAGATGAAAGGTTGGGCATTTTGACCTATTCTGAGTGATTCGGGTTCAGAGCCAGCCTCGAGTAGCCATTTGAGGGCCTGCTTTTGCCCTTTCTGTCTTGACATCATTTTTAACCCCTGAGGTCACCACCTGGTCAAATCCACAGCTAGACTGTTTTTCCTTGTTGCTGCCTTTTATGCTAAGCTAACAGCATCTTAGCTTTACTTAGATTTACAGCCTTGCCAGAGGGCAAATGTGAGTATTTCCCAGTTGTATAAAACTAATGCTTTAGAATTCTTTATTCATCAGTGTATGCAAAGAAAACCCCTTTGCTTTGTAAAATCTATGATTAATTAAATGCAAGCATATGTGTGTGTGAGAGAGAACCAAGAGAGAACGAGATAGGCCACGCACGTGTGCTCTCCTGTATGCCAGTCTGTACCGAGCTGCAGTTACAGACATTAGTCATCGATGTTCTCATGAACAATGGAAGCAGCCGTACTTCTCCCAAAAAATGTGAACCCCCCACCACCACCACCCTTCTACACACAAACGCACACTCTCTACGAGGGCCTTACCTTCTGTTTATTACTTAAAAAGGAACATTATGTACATTATGTACATTATGTGTAAAAAGAAAATCTGATTTCTTTTGTAAACATGACACTAGTTTATAAAATCTAAAACAATTCGACTATGGTTACTTATTTACCACAACAAAGTAAGTAGAGTAGGATTAAGGGCAGCTGGGTTCCTCAGGAAAAAAGAATGAAGATAGGAAAACACAAATATCAGAGTTATGAGGCTCTAAGACAACATCAACATCAAATGCTAAAGTAATTAACTTGATATCAGTGAATCATTAACCCAGTTCTGCCTGGTGGACCAATAGATTTCTCAACCCGCATCTTACCAGATCCACAGTGACCCCTACTGGTGAGATAATAGTATTACAGTCCAACTCAGCGACCCAGTCTTGAAGGCATTGCACGCTCTCTTTGGTGTTCATTGTCATTTAATGAGGTATCTATTGCACTAATTTAGTTTGCATGACATACACCTCTTGCACAGTATGGAAACAACTCCTGCAGAAACAATAAAATAACCCCCAGACTTAATATTGGAGCCACAGGAATAAGTATATTGAATGGCCGTTTTGACATAGGTTCTATTTGCCTTTGACGACTGCGTGTTCCAGGGGTTAAATAAATACCAGGAACATCCATTCACAAGTCAGCTCTCTGCCGTCAAATAAACTTTGTCCTTGGCGTCATTTCAGCTGTCCTGTTCGTCCTGTTTTGATTCCAAAAGTCAATGCCTCGACTGAAGGCAAACACAAGGGAACAAACTTCACTATAAAACGGCCCAGTCTTCTGGCTCCTGTCTAAAACCACCTGCCGTCATGGACAAATTACTACATCTAATATCACTATCCATTCACATCCTGTGTGTGTGTGGAGAGGGTGTCGTACTAATGCCAGTTGAACTTGCTCCCATCCCCTGTAACGACAAAGCGGTGGAGAAGCTGTCTCGCTTGGCCGTCACTTACATCAATGAGGATCGCAGCGAAGGCTACAAGTTTGCCCTGAACCGCGTCGCAAATGTCCATCTGCACGCTCAGGTTAGTACAAAGACCAGAGGAGGCTGTAAAACACGTTTGTTCATCCTAGACCAGGGTGGGAAGTGTTTATATGTAACAGCCGTGACCAGATTCATGTCAGGGGAAGCCCATTTGATAAGATTTAAAACAACAAAAATCAGAAATGACCCTTTTCCAGGACTCGCTGTGGCTTCTAGATTCTCCAGTTGAGGACCCGCTGGGTTACATGAAAGCTGTGAAAAACAGCAGCAGTTTCATTAGGGAGCAGCAACGTAAGTACTAAAAACAACAAGAAACACTTTGGTGCGAATGGCCGCCATCAGTGCACGTCGCTTTTAATAAATGTAGCATTAAGATCAAATTACATAATTTTATATCATAAAACGGGAAGCCATTCCTTTTTCACGCCTCGTGAAAAAAGGCCTCTAGGATTGAAGCGAGTGTTAATAAAGTCCAGGTCATTTCAGTCCAGCACTGCTGGGACAAACCTTGCACAACAGACTTTATGAACTTCATGCTGTCAGCTGCTGAAGGCTATAGTGGCCCGACTGTGGGATAGATCAGGTTTTAAGAGGCTCAGATCAACTTCATGACCTAAAAAGGCTGCTATTACTGTGGCGCAAAGTGTTGACAAATCATTATTGTACAAAGTGTTGTGTGGAATTACACAGAGCACCTCCTAAATGGTCCCTTATTGATATACTTAACAGAACAAATGATGCTACTTGGCAGGAGGACTTCTCATAAATTTGAGCCTCATAGCTTTGTTAATGCCTGCTCTCCTTTATCGCATGTGTTTATACTCTGAATTACAGGGCCCGGCAGGCAACGTGTATTACCTCGACCTGGAAGTCCTGGAGACCAAGTGTCACACAGGCAGCAAGAAACCATGGAAACGTTGTGACGTCAGGCCATTCATGGAAACGGTAGGATGTTCACACGTATACAAACAAGAGCACGTGTCCGCACGAGTAGGAGGCCTCTATATGCCTGAAGGCACTGTTTATAAGATATGTCCCACACTGTAACTGGACAATGTAAGAAAGTCACACTTAAACCATATACATGAAGGTATTTTTGAGTTTTTGGAAGTGTCAGGGCGTTCTTTCAGAAGTCACAGTCACTTTATCCATTTCCACTGGCAGATCTATTTTATTACTGTGACTTTTTTCAAAGCATAAATGTATTACTCTTCAGTAACTGGGCATTTGGAGGAAATCTTTCCTACAAAATGGAAAAATCTATTCTGTTAAAATAGATATTTATGGTTTACATATTTTACATATTTTACTTATGAAACTTCCATTATAAAAAAAACTATTGATTTAATCATAAAAGCAGCTCCTTTGACAAAAGGAAGGAACCATCGGCAAGACAATCATGGGCCACTTTATTAGGTACATCTGTTCAACTGCTCGTTAATGATTGTTGGTTTATTAATGGATTGTTGATAGCAGACAGGCTGGACTGGGCTCATCAGACTATGAGAGACACAATCATCTCTAGGGCTCAAAGAAACAACAACCAGTGAGTGGTGAAAATGTATTGCTGGCATCAGAGGTCAGAGGAGAACAGCCAGACAGCTTTCAAATGACAGCAAGGAAACAACCAAGATATGCAGAAAAGCATCTCTTACTGCACAACACAAACCTCTAAGCAGACGGGCTACAGCAGCAGAAGACCACACTGGGTGCCCTACTCGTGTCAGATAAGGCAGAAGACTAGAAAAACTTGAACTTCCCTTAAGAGTCTGGGTTTCTGCTATGACATTTGGATGTTAGGGTCAGAATGTGGTGTGAATGACATGAATGTATGCATCCATCCTAATCTTATATCAGCGGAAGTGGTGAAAGTGGTGTAACGCTGTGGGGGATCATTTCTTGGCACATTTTAACAAATAATAGTACCAAATAAATATTTAAACATCACAGTCTACCTGATTATTGTTGCCGAAAGTGTCCACAGTGTAACCATCTTCTAATAGCTGCTACCATCAGGATAAAGCATCATGTCACAAAGGTCATTTGGGATGTGGTGGAACAGCAGATTCGCATCATGAGTGTACAGCGGACAAATCTGCAGCAACTGCGTGATTCTGTCACGTAGCATGGACCAAAATGTCTGAGGAATATTTCCAGCAACCTTGTTGAATCTGTGCTATTAAGAATTAAGACAGCTCTGAAGGCAAAAAGTGGTCCAAACCAGTACTAGCAGCATAGTGTACCTAACAAAGTGGCTGGTGAATGTCGGTCCTCTAAAACTTACAAACACAACCTTTTTTTTACGGCAATGGGAAATTCAAATGAGTTTATTTCTTTTCCGTATAGGTGAGCGACTTATAAGCCAAAAACAGCCCTTTGAAGAAGTAACACAAGCCAAAACACTCACACTGGTCTCACTGATAGAAGAGTACATTCAAAGTTTTTTTGTCTTGCATCTGTTTGAACACATTGTGCCAAGTCTTTGTAGTGAAGTAGTTGATATTGGGCCAATCACGAATTCTGTCTGTTTTATCTTTTTTTTTTTTTTTTTTAAAGCAAATCTCTGGCAACTGCAACACCACCATCCTGCACACACCAGGGGGCTACTCCTACTTATACAGCTACGACTGTGCTCTCGTGCCAGGTAACGTTAGCAGGTTCCTAACCACTAACTGCTCACATACACAGAAGGTCGCATGCATACAGTGCTGTGCAACATGAGTCGCAACATAACATCTATTATTAGATACCCACTGTTTATCGATATCTTTAAATAATGTGTAGCATCAGAGATCATGCAGCCGGCATGTGCTGCTTTGGATACCACATCAAGCTGGAGATCTAAGGTAAAGAAAATATTGAATTAAACAAAGAAATTGTAAATATCCAGTAGGGAAAAATTCTCATAAGAAAGAACAGCAAAGACCTGAGGAGAGAAAAGTATCGACGTTTCACTGTGAGTATCTCAATTTGTTACGTGCAGGTGTAACTAATAACATTAATGATGGCCCAGTCTAATGGAGCTGAGTCCTAATTAATTATCAATTAGCCACACTAGTGAATTTCCCACTATGACAAATCAAAAGGTCGAGCGTGAAAATTATGATTTCGCCCCGATCTCAATCGATTTCCCTTCTCTCTCACTGCCACAGCGTTTGGTTTGGTGCTACTTTGGAGACATCAGCAAAAGCAGGTTACACCTCACTGTCATGAAAAGAGATGTAAATGTCCGATTTAAGTGCATTTGGACAGCAAAAAGTTGTGTATCCGTTCAAAATGACATGACTTTTTTTCCTTTTCTGCTTTCACTGTAAATTTAGTGCCACTGCTTTATCCAGTCTCTATCATCTGTTTGCTCATGTAATTTAATACAGACGTTTACTTATTCATTCTTATTCAGTTCTCTGGTTTCTGCAGATTCTCCAGAGAAACTCCAGCAGATCTGCCCAACATGCCCCCTCCTGCTCTCCGTAGACAGCCCCGAGGCCATGACTGCTGCTCGGGTCACTCTGGTATCCTATAAAAGGACGTCCACTATGGCTGCAGGGCTCGGGGTGAAAAAAATTACCAGAGCTGCTGCACAGGTATCGCTAGATATACTGTTATTAACTTTGATGGGGGGAAAGAAAGAAAGAAAGCTGCGGGGCTAATTTTATTGCTTGACAGTGCGTCAAACATTATGTTTATGGGGGGAAATCACACTTAAGGAAATTCTCTGGGTATACATATGCAGAAGGTACAGTGCACCTTTGAGCTTCTGTGTTCCAGATAAGAACCATTATTGCACAAGCATCACCATCACGCAATAGTTATAGACGAGTCTGGCAAGGTTGCAAAGGATCACTGAAGGCACTTTCCTCCATGGCCCAGCTTTTGTTTGGGGAGCAAATGAGAAAAACTGAATAGTTTGCTTGGGGACCAAAGCTAAGTACACTGCTTTTGCATATGATAGTCCAGCTTCAGGATGGAAAAACCAACATGATAGCTGCCGCAATAAAAAACCCTGCCATCTCTATTTGTGCCTGTGCTTGTGTTTGTTTTTGCAGTTTGCTCCTCTCTTCCTATATTATTTTTATATTTCAGTCTGTGCCAGTAAAAGCCACCTTTGTGGAATACACAGTGCAAGAATGCCCCGAGGGAGTGACAGAAAGAGGCACCTGCCAGCGACTGACACTCGACTCGGACACAGAGGTACTCGTATAGAAGTTACTTGAAAAAAATGACACATTCACACACCAATTTAGATACACTCGTACAATGTGCTTTAATTTATTGTTTTTTAGGATTCCTGTATTGTTTAGTCATGCCACTTTTGGAGATTATTTATTTTTAGGTCTTTAGTGTCCCAGCTAAGCAGATTTTGTGGCCTCCTTGTGTATGTAAACAAGAAGGACAAAAGCATTTCCAAGGTCAACAAAAATTGAACATTACAAACTTCACAAAGGTGAAATTCATGGAAGAGCTGTATAAATTCTAGATCTATTTACGTGGCCGCTAAGTGTATATTAATGATGAATTAGCACTCAGACATAGTCAAGCAGCGCTGTCTGAAACAGCACTTAATTACAAATCAATTCATTGATCACCATTGTGTGTGTTACATCTGGATAATTTCATGGATAATTTACTAGCTGACATGACTACTTCGGTTACGTTTAAAATGTGACGTCACTTAATGGTTTAGGCTCATTCAGACATGAATAGTGGTGGTGGGGTGCAGGTGGGTTGCGAAGCGGCTTGCAGATGCACAACAATTATTTGCAGGGTAAAGCAGGCTTTGATATCAGCTTCTAGTAAAAACATCAGCTGAGCTGCAGGGACTGTTGCTGAGCTTAACTTCATTTACTGCCTGAACTAATGCTAATGAGAAGGAATGTACATTTTATTTTAATTATTTTAACCCACCCTGTGTCATACTCTTACTTTTTAATAGTCTCCCAGTATGTCACAGAAATACATTACCAAATGTCTCACACTCTTCTCTCAGACTGCAGGTTTCTGCACAGGATCTGTACATGGAGACACGAATACTGATCCTGATGTCCAGACGTCCTGTGAGATGTTTAAAGTACAGGTATGGGAGGAAATTACGTAATATTTTTTAATATTGCGTTGCTAAGCCAAAGTGGCAGCTCGTTTATGCAAAGATCCTATAAAATCACAACTATAAGAATCAGTATGATGAGGAGGAAAGGAATAGAAGTGACTGCATGTGGACTGCATGTTGAGCATGTTTCTTATTCTCCCATGACAAGAAGAAGAACAGATTTAGATTTATAGAAAAGCCAACATTCAGTGTGCACGCAAGATTTGACCTAAAAACCTGTTCTGATTGTTCTCTATCAAAAACTGTGAACGTCCTACATGCAGGAAAATCACAGCGGAGGTGTAACAATGATAGCAGCTGAATTATCCGCAACCCAAAAGTGAACAGAAAATTGAAATGCATTAATAGAAGAATGTCAGTAACTGAGAAAAAAAAGCAAAAACTACTGGAAAAGTGTAGCATTTAGTGTCAGTTCACACTGTGGGACTGTGAGTTGGGAGTGTAACAACCCACTGCTTGACCTTGACTTGATGAATGTTTCATGTTCTCTGTTTTCTTTCAGGGTTTTTTTTTTTTTTTTTTTACTAAAGTAACCTTTAGAGTGAACATTTAACTCTCTGAATGGAAGCCAGTGGTCATATAATTATTCTGTCATATCTTACAAGTTGGTGGTTTTGTGTGTGTGTGTTTAATCCTATGTGTGAGATTTCAAATTGTATGCTCCTGCGCTGTAATTATGTTGTCTTCTCAGTTCTTTTTAGAGCGTGTGGTTTGTAAAGTAGTTTTACAGTATTGAGTAAAATTCATTCGTGCAGCCAGAAGAGTTCTCATTTGGTGTGGTGTTGTCTGCGTCTCTTCAGAATGTGGATGTCCTCCGGCCGGTGCAGCCACAGGGTCACGACCTCCCAGAAAACCCAGCAATCCCGACGTTCCCACCTGTGATTGGCGGCCCAGGAAACGATCCGCAGCCTGTTCCCTCTGACCCTCCCTTTCCCACTGCCGTTCACCCTGTACCCGTTGACCCCTCTGTGGCTGTTAACCCAGCTGTCCCTCTTAGCTCTTCTTCCAGTGAGTCTGCTGAAGGTCTACTCACTGAGGCTTCTGACTCATCCTCCGAGGAAATCGGAGGCCCTGTGGCTCTGCGTCCCCCTTTTAACTTCCGCTACCAGAGGCGTGACCGTGAAAAACGCCAGGCTTTGAACAACACCTCGCCCTCTCACCACCCTGTCTTCCTGTCTGATTTCCCCAGTGGGCCCTCTCCTTTCCGATCCTGTCCCGGTCCAGCTCGGTACACCACTGTTTAAGTGTTGCTGCTCTGTTCAGGAGTCTATTTTTCCATTTCTGATTTATCCAGCGAGAGCCTACGCTGATAAACTGTTCCACTTTCTGTTGCTGGAAGCATAAAAATAATTTGTGCTAATAAGAGGAAACCTATCTCTTTTCACTGGCCCTGAAATGACCTCTAATACTGCTGCACTGTTAACTGCTTCTAATGCAGCAAAATAGCTTCAGATGTTATTACAAATTTCAATAAAACTTGTTTTGAAACCCTCATCAGAATCTTCAAATTCTTACACTCATAGTCTGACAATGCCTACACTTATTTGGTAGTACATACAATTTTGATTGAAGAGCTGAATTTGTCAATAAAAGTCTTAATGGAACTAATCTTAACCAGTTTAATGAATAATTGAATGTTTTGGGTGAAACAACATGGATCAGAAAGCTGATAACTTTCATGCGCTTTTCTAATTCAGATATCCTTGCAAAATGCAGCCCCTGTGTTACAAGCATTTTTCATTAATTCTTTGATAATTCTCACAATTTTTACAAAATGAAGAACTATAGAAGGAAATGGGTGTTTTAAAAATGCAGTAATGAGAAAATAACCAGCTGCAGCTGCAAAATCTTTAGCTGCCGTGCTGCAGCTGCATTTATATTCCTACAATTTCTATCAAGCCCATCCCTGCTGAAATTAGGCATCAAAGGGCTAACATAAAGAAGCAGACAACCATTCAAGTACACGCCAATTTAGAATGCAATGCACATGTTTCTGGACTGAGTAGGGAAGCCACAAAAACTGGTGAGAACCCACATAGACACATTTAGAACATACAAACTGCACAGAAAGGCTCCAACCGACTACAGGAACCTTTTTGCTGTGTGCTGTGCTAACAGCTGCACAGCTATGTCAACTCACATCCAATTTTCTGTAATACAGGGAGTGCAGAATTATTAGGCAAGTTGTATTTTTGAGGAATAATTTTATTATTGAACAACAACCATGTTCTCAATGAACCCAAAAAACTCATTAATATCAAAGCTGAATGTTTTTGGAAGTAGTTTTTAGTTTGTTTTCAGTTTTAGCTATTTTAGGGGGATATCTGTGTGTGCAGGTGACTATTACTGTGCATAATTATTAGGCAACTTAACAAAAAACAAATATATACCCATTTCAATTATTTATTTTTACCAGTGAAACCAATATAACATCTCCACATTCGCAAATATACATTTCTGACATTCAAAAACAAAACAAAAACAAATCAGCGACCAATATAGCCACCTTTCTTTGCAAGGACACTCAAAAGCCTGCCATCCATGGATTCTGTCAGTGTTTTGATCTGTTCACCATCAACATTGCGTGCAGCAGCAACCACAGCCTCCCAGACACTGTTCAGAGAGGTATACTGTTTTCCCTCCTTGTAAATCTCACATTTGATGATGGACCACAGGTTCTCAATGGGGTTCAGATCAGGTGAACAAGGAGGCCATGTCATTAGTTTTTCTTCTTTTATACCCTTTCTTGCCAGCCACGCTGTGGAGTACTTGGACGCGTGTGATGGAGCATTGTCCTGCATGAAAATCATGTTTTTCTTGAAGGATGCAGACTTCTTCCTGTACCACTGCTTGAAGAAGGTGTCTTCCAGAAACTGGCAGTAGGACTGGGAGTTGAGCTTGACTCCATCCTCAACCCGAAAAGGCCCCACAAGCTCATCTTTGATGATACCAGCCCAAACCAGTACTCCACCTCCACCTTGCTGGCGTCTGAGTCGGACTGGAGCTCTCTGCCCTTTACCAATCCAGCCACGGGCCCATCCATCTGGCCCATCAAGACTCACTCTCATTTCATCAGTCCATAAAACCTTAGAAAAATCAGTCTTGAGATATTTCTTGGCCCAGTCTTGACGTTTCAGCTTGTGTGTCTTGTTCAGTGGTGGTCGTCTTTCAGCCTTTCTTACCTTGGCCATGTCTCTGAGTATTGCACACCTTGTGCTTTTGGGCACTCCAGTGATGTTGCAGCTCTGAAATATGGCCAAACTGGTGGCAAGTGGCATCTTGGCAGCTGCACGCTTGACTTTTCTCAGTTCATGGGCAGTTATTTTGCGCCTTGGTTTTTCCACATGCTTCTTGCGACCCTGTTGACTATTTTGAATGAAACGCTTGATTGTTCGATGATCACGCTTCAGAAGCTTTGCAATTTTGAGACTGCTGCATCCCTCTGCAAGATATCTCACTATTTTTGACTTTTCTGAGCCTGTCAAGTCCTTGTTTTGACCCATTTTGCCAAAGGAAAGGACGTTGCCCAATAATTATGCACACCTGATATAGGGTGTTGATGTCATTAGACCACACCCCTTCTCATTACAGAGATGCACATCACCTAATGTGCTTAATTGGTAGTAGGCTTTCGAGCCTATACAGCTTGGAGTAAGACAACATGCATGAAGAGGATGATGTGGACAAAATACTCATTTGCCTAATAATTCTGCACTCCCTGTACATTTCATATATAACGATAATGGACTGCTTAATCACACTAGGTCATTTCATTTTACTGTTATCCTTCCCTCAAATGTTTTAAAGGTGACCTTTTATGCTTTCCCTTACTTCCTGTTAGACATTGATACACTATATGGACACCTTCAGGAGTTGCTTGAGCAAGGAAACTTACGTCATGAAGCTCCTGGCCCACAGTTTTTGTGCTGATGTTAATGGAAGTTTGGAACTGAGTAGTTACTGAATCAGCAGAGCACAGATGAGTTTTATGCACTATAGTCCTCAGCACTTGGGAACTCCACTGCGTAACATTAGGTGGTCTGCCACTATGTGGCTGAGTTGCCTTGAGTATGCAGTGGTACCACATACAGTTTGTTGTGCAATATCTATGAAGGAAGAGATCGCACAAACTTGTTGTAATGATGACATTTTATCACAGTACTATGTACCTCTTTAGAACAGCGGTGTCAGAGCTAAAGGCCCGAGGGCAAAGACTCCAATCTGCCCATTGGACGCCTTCGGAAAATGTGAAGGAGGGCATAAACTTGGACTTTTAACTGTTTTATCATTAGTTTTACAGCATTTCCATGCCTTTTTTACTATTCCAAAGTAATTAAGTAATAGATGAACACTTAAATCAGAGAAAAGTTCATTTTTTATTATCTACTGTAGAGATTTCCTCATTCGTTACAACAACATTTATTTGTTGTAGAACACTGACATAGACGTACTATTGAAACTGCACTTCTTTTTTGAGATATCTCAGGGATTACATGCTTGGTTTACACTGACAGAATGGAGTCCAGCCCACTTAATATCAAAGTGGGCTGTTAGGGCCCATGATGTAACATGAGTTAGACATCCCTGCTTTACAATGACCCATTCTTTCACAAGCATATATAAAGGCAGGGTGCATAGCTGGCTGCTTGATTTTGCACACCTGTAGAAAATGGTGCTGAAAACATACTTTTGTCCATATAGCGTATGTAGATAGCAGTGAATGCTGAAATGAAATATGAAGATTCAATATTAAGTTACAGGTGAGCCCTGTTAGCCGAAAGCTCAGGGTTCAGTCCATTTAGTGCACTTTTTTGAGAGGGGATATCCTTAACACAGTCATTTCAGGTACACAGCTTAGGTTATAAGTGCAGAAGCCCAACCTAATTGTTTCCTTTTTCTGTTTTAAATCTTCTGTTTGTGATAGACAGCCAATCAGAATAAAGTAATATAAGAAGAACGAAGCTGAAAGATGAACAGAAGATGAGCTGAAGGTCAAAGGGCTAACAGAAGGTAAATAATGATTATTTTGATTTAAAAACCATGGAAATCTCCTCTAGTACAGCCCAAGAATAAAATTATGGAGTAGAAAATAACTGTAATATTTTCTTTTCAAAGGATTCCCTCATCCTGTCTTTATCTGGAGAATTTCAACACACAGGACTTTTATGAGTCAAAAAGGAATATTTTAGAACGTTTTATTTTATTTTTTAACTTTCAAGATGACAGTGTTGTAGAACACAGCAAGGTTTGTATTCTCCACACCATATCCCTCAAGATCCAGATGGTTTAAAACCGCTTTACAAACACATCTGGCGAAGCAGGGGGAAAAGTCGGGGTTTGTTATTGTAGGACTCCTCACCACAGGACTTATACTGTGCCAAAAAGCACTGAAGTGAAAAGGAAAGTGCAAACATATCAGGAAAGCTTTAAAAGCTTGCAGCTAGCTAAAGTGGGCCTTTATCAAGACAGCTACATGAGCTATTAAAAAGAGCAGGACAGCACAGAGGAGAGACGCAGCACAAATGTGAAAAGTCATCTCGTACCTGGCTGGAGTGTCACTCTGGAGAATCCTCAATCAGCAGCATCTCAGTGTTTTTTAAGGCCAGTGTGTCAGAAACTAGCTATTAGGAAAACCACACACACACACACACACACACACACACACACACACACACACACACACACACACACACACACACACACAGAGCAATGTCGAGTCCAGACCAAAGACAAATTCAGAAACATATAAGCCAAGAAATGAAATATGACTAAGACAGAGCAAACCAGGTCAGGTCTCTGCAGTATGTCTTCATTTAAGAGACAGCAGAACATTATTTGAGCTTCATGCTTGACAGAGACGAAGATGAATGAAAAATGAAAAAAGCTAAAATAACCATTCGGAACACCATCCCCCCTGACATTAGCAAAATACCAGCAGGACTCATATGACAGCCATGTAAACAATTTCAGTGACTGACGACGTCAAGTTGTAAACCTCGTACAGAGGTTTAAGTGTCTGTGACTCCCTAAATGCATCAAAACATCACTGCCATTCTTGATAATGCATTCTTCTGAATTGCAGCAAACTGGAAGCACAAGTTACATTTTCTTTATTTTCCATATGGTTCTTAGCTTTCTGTGCTACAACAAATCCCCCAAAGCTACAAAAGAAGGAAGCTTAGGGTGTTAATGACCCTGTGATTCTCCCTGCCTTGGTCAAATTACACGAAAGCTTTCTGGGTAC